ATCTGTCTTCTTGATTTCTTCTCCTCCTGCTTTCTTCTTGATGATTGTCAGTCGCAAGTCTTCCAGCAAGTCAGTGTCTACAGGACAGGACTTAGTTGCTGGAAAAAGAATCTTTCTATAATCCTTGTGGTGACGTATCAGTTCTCTCTTGTGAACATCTACTTCCCAGTAGTCAACCACAGGATATGCATGTTCAGCTACATCTTCATCACTATTGAGGTCAACAGAAATATGACCATATTCATAGTGAGTGAAGTGAGAGTAAAAACTCTTCTCGCGCCGAGTCTGCAAATTCACGTCAGACAGATACCATGCAATATCTTGGAAGTCCAAAACAAGATGAGTACTGGCTGCAACCTTCAACTCCAAATATTTGATACCAAGAGGCACCGATGTCAGATAAGCATGTTGAGGTGTCAGCCTGAGTTCAAAGCCTAAGTTCCTCATCTGTGGCAAGCTCATAAGCAAAGGGACTTCTCCTTCTTCCACTATGTCGAACTCTGTATGGTGGATCGTCCATGCACGATCATACATGTAAATCACCAGTTTCTGAGAGCAAGTAGCCTTCTGGGAATTGGCAAAGTAAAACTTGCTCTTGGTAGCCTCAAAAGAGTACCACAATCCACAATCTGGGTGATTGTCGACATAGTTGCAAAAAATGGTCGACTGCTCGCCTTGATCCCATAGCTCTAGTGCATCCAATGTCCAGGATTGCAATAGTCGGCGGGAAGCGATTCTCAGTCAAAAATGAAATGGCCTGCATCTCCTTCACTTCTTCCTCAGCGCTCATAAGCGCAAAGCCATCAGGAGCCTTTGTGAGCATCTCCTTTGACAAAGAGTACCTCACAGGGGCACTCATGCCATTGAAGATCGTCTCACCATTGTTGACCGCACAGTCAGCTTCATCTTGACATGAGGTCATCATGCCTGACAGCAAGTTCACCTCACTGTCATGGACTTCAGCTGCTGCTGTCACACAATGTGCAAAGAAACCTGTTGACCTCCTGATGCTTGTGAAGATCTTGAAGGTGCAGGCAAAGAACGTGGCTGTTGTTGATTTGCATAGTTTGCATCTTGTTTGCCATCTCCTTTATCTTTTCCTTTTCCTTTCTTGCCTTTTTTCTTGCCTTTTCCTTTTCCTTTGTGGGAAAACCATGCTTCTTCAAGCTGTTGCCAAAAGTCATTGGCATCATCATATTCTCCTTGAAGATAGTCATTCATATCTTCGGCAAGAATGGCATCATACGCTACTTGGTTTGACTCCCAAGTGTCCTCATAAGGATTCTCTTCAAAGTACTCATCTGGATAAGTTGTCTGTTGCTCATCAGCAAAATGGCCTTTACCTCGTCTCTTTCCTTTTCCTTTTCCACGAGGTCTGAAAAATCTGCGGCCTGATCTTCCTTTACCTTTTCCTTTTCTTCTTCCTTTTCCTTTGCCTTTTCTGGCTCTTCTTCCTTGGAATCTCCTTTGGAACCACGAGAAGTTTTGATCATCATATACCCAAAAGACATCGTCCAGGGCATCTAAAAATCCTTCTGTTCCATCTTCTTCATCTTCGGCCCAATAGCCAAATGTACCATCGAGTTCTCCTTCGTCTAGTACGAGAAATGATCTTCTACCTCCGGCACCTGTCGGCTGCATCAAAGGATTGTCTACTGAAGTCTTTGTCGTGCAGAACATCTCGATGAACACTGTCCTCAACTCTGTTGTGGTGTATTGCTGCAGGACCCTGCCACGATGAGTCATCAAAGAAGTCAAAGTGTTTCGCTGGTCCTGAGACAAATCTGCAAGTGACAGCATGAGTAAGGCAATGAGATTTTCTCCTAGAGGAAATTCGTTCTGATGAAAAGTCCTCATATTGCCATTGATGGTCTGCATGATTTCCTGAATCCTTTCTGCCGTTGGTGCTACTCCAGTCAACGCTGCATCTGCCTGCATCTGTGCTAGGACTTGTGGATGTGCTTGAGTGACTGGTTCTAACATGTCCATCCAACTGCTCATAAGCCTTTGGAGTAAAATCTGGAATCTTGTCATCCATTTCATCATGTCAGCTGATCCTCGATTGAAGCGCACGAATTGCATGAACCTATACAGGAATACATTGGTTGATCCTTTCACGAAATATGGTCGTAGTACTCGTTTGAAATATTCTACGCCGGCTCCTGGTGGATCATTTGCCTTCAATGCATCTCTGTCTAAAACACGCTTGTATACAGCTGCTTCTCCTTCTAATCTGTTTCTCAATGCTGGTCCTCTTTTCTCATCTTCCAGCTCGGTGATGTCACACCAATCGTCTATGGCATCCTCATAGGAAAACCATGAAGTCTTTCCATCATAAGATGGGGGCACCTTTGTAGTGACCTGTGTTGTCATCGCTATTGCTGCTGGTTCTCTTCTCACATGCCTATTCACGTAGGCTGCTGGCTCATAAGCCACATCCGCATCAGGCTCTTCCCAGTCGTCAATCCAATCCATGGCCGTTTGCCCACTAGCAAGTCTATGCCTAGGAAAGGAGCTCACCTGGGTCTTCCAGGATCACTGCTCCGCTACCACTGAAAGAGTGACTAGGGCGTACACGGTAGAGGTGCAGACCGCTAGTGTCTTTTATGCGCAGAGTCTTATCCTCTTGCTCTTTGAGCCTTGAAGCAGTCAAGCATGGACACACTATATCAGCTGTTGGAGTGGAACCCTGTACAGGTAGGCTCTACTTTTCAGGGGGGACCCCCCTTTACTAATCAGGATCGAACATTAACACGGAAGTTTTGCACACTAAACTTCCTTTGACAAACAGTAGAGATTCACAAGTCCGACTGGTCAGGAGCCTCTGAGATCTTCTTGTTCAGCTCCGCCTTCACCTGACGTGAACGACTGCCGAGATCTTCCCAGACCGGTCTGAAAAGCTGGTGTCGAGAAGCAGTCTTCACTGAGCTTGGAAGTCGAGTTTCACTCTGTGCATAGGATCACAGAAAGCTCTTCCCCTCAAGAGGCTATCGGCACAGGACCAAGACGATCTAAGTTCCGAATGAGAGTTACAATTTACGTTGAGCCCAATACACCTCCGCACGAGGTATCTGGATCCTACTGACTACTGTGTCTTCAATTTGTGCACATCTCCATGATTTGTGGATTTCAAATTCACTGAGAGCCCAGAATAATTGTCCGATCAAACGTGGCGGTTTTGCTGCCGGTTTGCTGGACTCGTTTTGATACAACGATGGTCAACCTGATTTCTGGACGTCCTGGGTGTTTAACATGAAACAATGTGTGGCCGCAGTTGTACAGCAGCCTGGCCACCACTATAATTGTAGTTGTAACAGCATATTCCTGGCAGTTACTATCACTAGTCGACATGCCAAAAGTCACCTAATCCGAGTTATTATTCTGGTTAGCCACGACCCACCCAAAGTTATAGTCCCGACTTTGGCGTCCTTGCTCCTAGTAGCGATACTAGGAGCCCCTAGTAGCTTCTTGTTCCTAATAGTAAGGCGAGGAGCCCCTAGTAGCGTCCTTGCTCCTAGCAGCGATGCTAGGAGCCCCTAGTAGCTTCTTGTTCCTAGTAGTAAGGCCAGGAGCCCTTAGTAGCGTCCTTGCTCCTAGCAGCGATGCTAGGAGCCCCTAGTAGCTTCTTGTTCCTAGTAGCAAGGCCAGGAGCCCTTAGTAGCGTCCTTGCTCCAAGTAGCGATGCCCTTTGCTCCTAGTAGCGTCCTGGGTCAGGCGCCAAAGGCATCCCCCGCGCCTCCTCCTTCTTGCTTCGCGCCTTCTGCAGTCGCTCGGAGGCACCCAACGCCTCCGTTCGGCGAAACGAGGTCCCGCGATTCGAAATCGTGGAGAGCCTTGACAAATGGCAAATCAAGGGAGAAATCATGAAGAAACGGTCGTTACCTATATAGACACACACACTTTCAGGCGAAAGAACATCACATGTGAATGCACAATCGGGGACTTCTCTAACTGTAACTCAAACCCAAACAAGCAAGTACTTATGCTGGCGAGTGATCAAAACCCGTACCATGAACATAAAACCAGATCAAGCAACTAAATTGGTTCCATACAAGATGCTCGTGATGTGCCACATGGCTGTCGGTCCAAACCTGGACAAACCGGAGTTGACCTGGTAAATCTGGTTCCCCGAGTCCCCACAGCCACGTTCTGGTCAAAACGGAGGTTTCACCAAGACCCCAAGTCCACCACCATCTGGGCTCTTACGAGAGATTAGTAATGCCAGGAGCGCCCCTAGTAGCGTCCTTACTCCTAGTAGCGATGCCCTTTGTTACTAGTAGCGATGCCCTTGCTACTACTAGTGAACTATGTATCTGTCCAAATCCTTCATCGCAGTATCGCCATGGCAAGCACTTGCTACGCTCTGCTACCTGTTGGCCCAAACAGCTCTACCAACGGGCCCAGAACACGCGTCCGGCCAAACCGACCTCTTTCGAGCCCCGTCTCCTGACCTCTTTCTGCTTCTGCATGCAAAGCTCCTCCGCAGATCTGGCCCTGAACTCTGCTTCCGCCAGCGCGGCGCGGGCCTCCGCCCTGGGAATCTTCGAAGCTCATGGGATTGGCTAAAGATAAAGGTCTGGGAATCTGAGACCTGATGAAGTGGTCCAGCGATGTCCAGCGTCATGCCTTTCCAAATACGTTTGTTTAGGTGTCGCACTGGACCTCACCCAAAAGAAACCGTCTTGGGCAGGACGAACTTCTACTCGTGCTCAGGTCAGTGACGAAACTCAACAATCCTCGCACCAAACCATGCTTTTTGAGGGCGTCACCAGATCCACATCCGGCGAAAAGAAACACATATGCCATGGATATCCCAGGTACAACGCCAATGGCTAGATTCTCTTTTGGTCAGGCAAACCCCAACGCCTTGCAAAGCCTGTATGCAAGCCACGTGGTGATGTATAACTATTCCTTTGCCTTTTGATGTTTTCTAGCTGACCCTACAAAATTTCCCGTTCAACAATGACTTGTTGTACTTCCATAATTATTGTAAAGAGTTTCTCTGACTGAGTAGGCTTCTCTTGCTTCTTCAGTGTGGCAAAAGGGGTAACTTCACTCAACAGTCCTTGGGCGTTGGGGTAAAACTGGGATAGACAGCTGGCGTCAATATCTGGCTGCTGCATTTTCCTCTCGCATCAATCTGCAGAGACTTTCGTGAAGTCACACTGCAAAGGATAAGGAGAAACTGGATTCCTGACAATCCTTCTCTCCTTCCAAAGAGTTTCAGCAAAGCCTCTCTTGCAAGTGCAACATAAACAGTAACTTTTCATAGACCTGAAAAAAACAGTTATCAAACAGTTATCGAACCTGTAGGAATATTATTTTGACGTTCAGTCTAAATACTACAGGATGAGTGTGAATCAAGTGTTGTTTCTTATGTTTGTACTTGTCCCGTCCGACATTCGCAAACCTTGACGCTTTCGGACGGTTTCTGCATGGACACCAAACACCAATTCCCTTTTTGTGAGCTGGGATTAAGACACACAAGATAACCTTCAGCAAACAGGTTAAGTCAAGTAATGAAGGTGCTTCTTTTCCCAATTTGTTGGCAAGTTCTTAGATGGTCGCAAAGCTCCCAAACATGCAGTTGAACTCCTCCAAACAAATAACAAATTCAAATGCATATAATTTGATCTCAAACTTTTGCCAAATTCTATTTTTGAGATGCAAAGCCAAGAGAGCAAGCAATTGAAAGTCAACAATGCTTCTTTCTGGGCATTTAAATTAAAGATCACTTGAATCAAACGCAGTTCTGAAACTGCCGAAGCCGAGTTCTAAGCCGGAAATCCAGTCAGCCCGACTCAAATAATCTCTTCCAGTCACCGCACCAGCGGAGACCTGGAACAAGTCCCTTCTAACATTTCTATGCAACATTGACAAAGTTCACAAATGCTGCGCATCTGTTGATTCCAGGAATCAAAGCGGCTAGGCTGCTAACACAACCTGGACCTGCTAGCACAGCTGCTGCCATCTACGCTCACGTGGAACCAACGGGATAGCCCAAGCGATGTTGAAGCTCATGATATCGCGCAAGGAGAGAGGGCTCGATCTTTGGCAGCACCTGAGTGGCTGACAGGTGAACACAAATCCCCCCTGCACAGCCTCTACCAACAGTTCTTGTGCTTCCCTTTTGGCATTTGTCATGTTTGTCCCATGGTGTACCGAAAATGAACGCCAAGTGTAAAGTGGATTTCGAAGGGTTCCAGTTCGATCTTCCATGCCAGATTGTGATTTTCCTTCGAAGACTTGACAACGAAAGGAACACAAACTCACACGAACAAAACAAACGCAGCAACACCATTGCACCCAAAATTAGGTTTCCAAGTCCTGGTCCAGTGAGTTCACAGAATTCAACGAACACAAGGTATGAACTGATTTTATCGTCCTACTTTCATTGATACTTGGTCATTGGTTGTGTCTTGGTCTTAAAGCTTCTGAAGGAAACGCCACAGTGGTGGGAGTTTCCCACAGTGCTTTCTCCTTCGCCAACGCCCAACGCAGGGCGAAGTGCCGGGTCGCCCGCCCACGGAGTTTTGGAGAGACGGGCGAACTGCACGACGTTGGCATGCTGAGTGGTCCCCAAGCAAAGCTGTTGGAGCAAGGTGGCTTTCTCTTGATGCCAGTGAGTTAGGTGAATAGCCTGACTTGACTCGCTGACTTATCAGGATATATTGGAAAACACCTTACGAATCAAGATGTCAAGGTTGAACGGACTCTAGTTCTATACATCACGCTGGTGAGCGGCTTCCGAGCAACGTGCTTCTCGGCGAGAGGCGACCTGACTCCGAGGCACAGCTTCTGCTAAAGCCTTACATTTGTCATTGCTCCCGTGAGACCGATTTCTGGATTCATCGTAGGTGGCTTCAGGGTTCCGTTTCTCGTCCTCGGTCTTGGCAGCCTCTTTGATGGACAGGCGCTGAGCATCGGTGATGAGATCCTGCGTCGGTGTCCGTGAGTTGCTTTTCTCTTTGGAAAGAAAAAAATCGGACTTCTTGTGGCTTGGAAGGCAAAGGGAGGAGAAAGGCAGTTCCCCAACCTGATCAAATTTGGACTTTCCGAATTTCCTACAAGTCAAGTGGATGACGAGAAGTAAACCAGGCTGATTCCAAAGCATGTCCAACTCAGAACAGGATTGACTGCACGATTCACGTGTGACTCACCCAAAAGATCCCAAAAGAAACAACGCCGAAAAGGTCAACGTCAACAAGTCCCTTCCACGCCCTAGAAGAACTCTCTGCGGCCCGTTCAGAGTTATAGTATGTGTAATGTTTTTTTTTCTAATATATTAATCTGCTCGCTTGAGGGGTTTGGTGGCCTTCCTGGCTCTTCAAGCGGAACCAACACGAAAATCAAAGAGAACCGCTGATGCAATGCAAGAGTTGAATCCGAAAGGCGTCCTCTTGGAATTTCGCCGAACTCGCTGTGGACCCATGTGGCCACAACTTCCCCGAAATTTTGTCATATCTAATCTAGCAGCCAACTGAAACATTACGGCTCCGCGCAACCGTTGAAGACAAGTCTCTTCGCCCGTGCCGAAAAAGAAGTCTAGGAGTGTGGAGATTTGCTGGTCAAAGCTCTCCTGAGACGTCACAGTGCCTTTGGGTCGAAGGGAATTGCACCAAGAATAGGGACAACCACACCGACGAACTACATGGAATTCCGGAGGTCCAAAATCATGTGGGATGTCTTCAACCGACAAACTTTCCAGTGCAGATCTACACTGCGTTCATCGTCGTCTGAAAGGAATCTTCTCTGCTTCTTTCTCGCAGAAACTTTGACACATTGATTTGATTCATTCATGTGCCTAAACACCCCTATTCATTCATCCAGAACATGCAGAACTGGCGCAAAGACATAACAACAGCAATCCCCGAGAAAGAGATCCAGGTATAAACGTCTACAGTCATTCAGCCTTCGAACTGGCCTTCCACACCACATCTCCCCAGTCGCCCTAATGCCAGGAGCCCCTAGTAGCTTCTTGTTCCTAGTAGTAAGGACAGGAACCCCTAGTAGCGTCCTTGTTACTGGTAGCGATGCCAGGAGCCCCTAATAGCTTGTTGTTCCTAGTAGTAAGGCCAGGAGCCCTATAGTGACGTCCTTGCTACTAATAGCAAAGCCAGGAGCCCCTAGTAGCTTCTTGTTCCTAGTAGTAAGGCCAGGAGCCCTATAGT